TCTAATCTGGAGTTTAGTTAATACTAATTAAAACTAATGACATATAGGCTGGAGTTTAGTTAATAATAATAATATACCAAGGTGGGTTTCTTAGTTTTGGCATTGCATCATGATGAGGTAAGATAATAACAGTAGGTGCAGGGGTCAGGAGCAGAGTCAGCAGGCAGTGCATGGAGCTATGCCGCCCAGGGGCATGTCCACCAAGCCTGATAATATTTCCTACCCACTTTTTTGCCTGCGCTCAGCATGAAAGGACAAAAGCTTAGCTGAACTCAAGGGAAAGAGGAATCACATTCCCTCACCAAACCCTTGCTTAGGCCCTTCCACAGACCTTTGTTGGTATGAATTTGGCCCAATGAAAGGAGGGACATTTTCCCCCCACCTCCCACATTCTGTTCTGGCTACTCAGATCTCTCAATCACAGCTTAGCCCCTATAACATTCCTCGACTTCAAATTAAATTTAGGGCCAAAGTCCCCTTGGGGCCAGCAAGGGCACAATTTTCTATACCAAGGAGCTGAGCATGCTCACCTAAGTGCAGAGAGCTGCAGGCAACCCAGGTTATGGCCATAAAATCCTCAGCAGGTGTTGGTGGACAAGGCAGATAGATTGGGGGAGAGGAATGTCTCAGCTGAGAGGATGTGGTGCCTGCCCAGAGCCTGTGTCTGGGTGATAAATGGGTGGAGAAGAGAGAGAAGTAATTACTTAATTCCATGTGCAGACAGACTGGCATTTATTGCAAGCTTATCACAAAAGTCCACAAGTTATTATATTTCACAACAAATAGTTATTGGAGGGATGGAAGAAGTGAGACCTAAAAGAAACTGAAAGGGAGATAAGCATCAACAAAAGCAGCCAAACGCCCAAACGAGCCATTTTATAAACATACTTCTCAGAATTCTGGTGCACCCAAAGCGTTAACACAGAATCTTTAAAATAAAATTTATTCTCATTAGTACTAATTGACATGAATATATATAATTCATGAGATTATCCTCAGGGTAGTGTCAGTGTGGGTTAAGGGGGATATCCCAGTGGTGGGAAGGAAGGAGAACAATGGAGAGACCTGGTTTGGACAATGAACTTGTCTGGAAGGTCAAGGCTATGTGTATTTAGAACCACACGTAGGCAAAATTTCACTCCTTTTCAACTAGGTAGACTTTACCTAGTAGAGAAAAACTATTGCTTCTTTATATGCTAATATGTTTCTACTGTAAATCCACTAAATCCACTTCTTACTAATTTCAATACTTTTGACTAGTTCTTTTCCATTTTCTAGTGCAAAAGGACATCATCTACAAATAATAATTTTTGTTTATTACTTTTTTAAATTTTAAAAAATATATTTTATTGATTTTCCACAGAGAGAAAGAGAGAGGGATAGAGAGCTAGAAACATCGATGAGAGAGAACTATCGATCAGCTGCCTCCTGCACATCCCCCACTGGGGATGTGCCCACAACCAAGGTACATGCCCCTGACCATAATTGAACCTGGGACCTTTCAGTCTGCAGGCTGATGCTCTATCCATTGAGCCAAACCGGTCTTGGCTATTTATTCCTTTTGATGTTCATTCCTTTTATTTATATTTCATATCTTACTGCATTAGGAAGAATTTTCAAAACAGTAGATAATTATCATAACGGTGACATCATTATTTAGAAAGGAATGCCTCATGTTTCTCCTTTAATTGTATTTAGTTTAGATTAATTGCTCTTTACCATATCATACCTTTCTCCCCACATACTGACTCATATATTCTCTTCTTTGCCAATTTAACTCCTACTCATTCTACAAAAAAAAAAATTGTGTATACAAAAGCACATGTAAATAAACACTCAGCTATCCTTAATGTAGTTTTATTAGTTTACAAAGGACTTTCATATGCAGACTCTCATTTGGTGCTCTTGACATGATGAAATAGGTATTACTAGGACTTTCATTTTAGATATTAAAAAAAATTCAGTATTTGTGTGAATGAGCAATTAGTTCTAGATCTTACAGTTAAACGGACTACAGGTTTGCATTTTAGGGAAAATATTTTAAATCCCAAGGAATTGCAAGAGTTTAGACAGTCCAAAGTGTCCCATCCATAAAGTATTGCATTTGTGCTTAAAGCAGGAAGAAAGCATAAAGACAGTGCTTGATCTTTCATTAGGAAAGAAAAGTTTCCCTCAAGTTCTTGGGGAGACTTTCCCTTATGTGTCTTTAGCCAGAATTGGACAGCAACAATAGCTAATGTTTAGTTAGTATTTACTATAGTGGTAGATATTGTCATATATATATTCATTTAATTATCACATTAACTCTATTAAGTAAGCACTATAATCATCCTCACTTTATGGACAAACTAAGGCCCAAAGACCAAAGATCAGGAATTTAGCAAATAAGTGGTAGACCCTTTATTTGAACCTAAGTAATCAGGCCTCCATCTATTCTCTCTCTTTTTTTCTTTTCTTTTACTCTCAGTCTATACCCTTAATAATCACCTTACTGTATTCTTGTTAGGAAAAACATAAAGATACTTATATCAAGAATTTTCCACAAAACAGCCCATCCAGATCTCTCTACAATGAAACCTCCAGCTGGAAAGCCCTCCTTACACAGAACTTACAATTTCTTATCGCTCCTTTCTTAGATATGAGCAGGCAGTGAAGACCCTCAGACATTTGAGAAAGGGTTGTTGTTTTTTGTGTTTGTTTTGTTTTGTCTTTTTTATTTTAATAAACTTTGATATATGATCCAAATAAAATAATATTTTCCTAAACAATACTGCATTGTATACTTGAAATTTGTTGAGACTAATCTTAAATGTTTTCACCAGAAAAAAAAAAAAAGATGATTATGTAAGGTTATGGATGTGTTAACTAACTTTGTTGTGGTAATCATTTCACAACACAATATAAGTGTACAAATCCATCACATTGTTCACCTCAAACTTACACTGTGTTATTTGTCAATTATATCTCAATATATCTGGGGGAAATGCACCTATGTTAAGTGTACAGTTTCATGAGTTTTGATAAATGTGTATATCAGTGTAACACCACTACAATCTATATATAAAGCAATTAACACCCATTATCACACATAGTTACAAAAAGTTTTCTTCTTGTTGCATCTCCTCTTAAACTGTTACATTATTTAATATAAAGTTTTTAAGATTTCTGGGTATAGGATCCTTTAAAATTTTTTATTAATAGTTATGTTTTATTGCATTGTGACCAGAGAATGTTGTCTGTGAAATGTGCACCTCATAGAACTTACTAAACTTTTTCTTATGCCCTTTTATGTGATCAAATTTTAAGTTTTTTTTTTTAATAGACGAGAAGGTGTGTTCAGGGTGGGAAATATATATATATATATATATATATATATATATATATATATATATATATATATTGTGTGTGTATATATATATATATATATATATATATATATATCCATCCATAAGATCATCAGGTTCTATGCCATCCTCTAACTCCTACCTGTTGCCAATGCAATAATCAGCTTTTTCTACTTTCCTCTTTCCTGTTTCTTCCCCCATTTTTCAGGTGCATTATTTCTACTTTGCCACAATATATTAACAATATATTACATTTGTATATTGGTCTTCTACCTCATTCTCACCTTTTTTAGTCTTTGATTTAAAGTTACCTGTATTGAAATACTCACCATCAGTCCTTTTGTTAAAATTTTCCAAGTCATCTCTTGGTTAGATAAAGCTTAAGCTCTTAAGAAATTCTTTAAGAAAAACCCTTAGTTCCCATATGCTGAAAATGTGTGTGGAGTTTTGTTTGTTTTTGTTTCTGTTTTGTTTTGACACTTGAATAATAGTTAGGCTGCGCTGGATTACACTTTATTTATTCAGTTTCTAGAAAATGCCTTGCTTTTTTTGCCTTGCTTTTGAGAGGTGTGATACTATCCTCATTCCTTTGTACTTGAAAGTTATTAAGTCATTTTTTGCCTGCAGGCTTTCAGAATTTTTTTTCTTTAACTTTAAAATCTGATAGTTTTGCTCAGATATATCTCAGATTTAATCATTTCTGGTTAATTTTTTCAGATACTTCATAGGCCTTTTCAATATGTTGGTTCAAGTCTTCAGTTGTTTCTGAAAATGTTCAATAATTAAGAGTTTTAAATGTTAGTTACTCCTTTTAAAAAATTGATATGATGGAGAGAGAGAGAGAGAGATGAAGAAGAAGAAAAAGAAGAAGAAGAAGAAGAAGAAGAAGAAGAAGAAGAAGAAGAGAGAGAAACATTTGTTGTTCCACTTATTTATACATTCATTAGTTGATTCCTGTATGTGCCCTAACCAGGGATCAAACCAGCAACCTTGACATATCATGATGACACTCTCACCAATTGAGCTACCCAGCCAGGGCTTTATTTTTATATTAGAGGCCCAGGGAATGAAATTTATGCATTTGATGACGTGGGGGGGGGGGGGCGGCGCGGCAGGTCCCTCAGTCTGGCTTGCATCCTCTCGCAGTCCAGGAGCTCTTGGAGGATGTCCAACTGATGGCTTAGGCCCGCTCCCCATGGGCCTAAACCAGTGGTCAGCAAACCGCGGTTTGCAGCTCTGTTGACTAATGGGTTTGCCAACCTCTGGCCTAAACCATCAGTCGGACATCCTCAGCACTGCCTTGGAGGCAGGAGAGGCTCCCACCTCGGCTGCTACGCCCGCCAGCAATAAGCTCAGCTCAGAGCGTTTGACTGAGCAGTGCTCCCTCTGTGGGAGCACACTGACCACCAGGAGGCAGCTCTTGCATTGAACATCTGACCCCTATTTTGGAGAATTATGATTTTGCAGGTCTGAAAAGGATCTGTCCATAGAAATGAAAGCTCTTCAGATGGTCAGTGAGCATCATAGTGACAAGTCATTCCACCATTTGATAGATTTGCATATTAGCCTTTTATTATATATATATATATATATACATATATATGTATATGTATATGTATATATATAATAAACATATATATATTTATACACATACACACACACATTGAGTGACTTATGAATTTGTGTGTCATCCTTGTGCAGGGGCCATGTTAATCTTCTCTATGCTGTTTCAACTTTTAGTGTATGTGTTGCCGAAGGAAGCACTTCAATGTTAGTTGTGTTTCATTGCTTTGTTTTCTTCTTGGGGATCCAATTATAGAAATGACTGTTGTTTGCATTTATTCTATTTCTACCCTTCCCCTTTCTTCTTTCTTTATCTTATTTTCATTTTTCAATAGTTGTATTCCTGCCATCTCAAAGACATGCCTTTGGTAGGTTATGTCTGGATTCTACTTCTTCCAAGTGCAGCTCCTTATTTTGCCGCTAAAGGTGCTCATGAGCAAGGGCTGAGGTGTTTGGGAGGTTTTCGTTTTCTCTGGGGTCACATGAAGCATCTGCATGTACTCTACACTGCACACATGTGTCTCCCAGCTGCATAGTTCATAGCTCACCTGCCACTGGGCACCTTGAGAAGCTGGACAAACTTTACAGTAATACATTAGGAAGGGACTGGTTCCAGAAAATATTTAGAGTGGAGAACCCTCCCAATCCACAACCCCAAATTCTTTCCTTTTTGATAAAGACGAGATGGCTCTCAAAACTGGCTGAGTTTCTGGATTTTGGAGAATTATGATTTTGCAGGCCTGAAAAGGATCTGTCCATAAAAACGAAAGCCCTTCAGCTGGGCAATTACATTAGGAGGAGTCCAGTAGTACACAGTGCCACCTAGTGGTTAGCCTGCATCAGAAAGGTCTTCCTTCTGAGAGGCCTGTGACAGCAGAGAGGGGTCTGGACTACACATAGATAAAAACCCTTGCAGAATGATCTATAACAGTGATTTTCAACCTTTTCACCTCATGGCACATATAAACCAATTATTAAATTCTGTAGCACACCAAAAAATATGTTTTTTTGCCAATTCAACAACAACAACAAAAAAAATAGGTAAAATTTTGATTGGTTTACAAAATAATAATAACAATAAATAACAGTAATTACCCTTTTTTGCCCCAAAGTGACTTTTTAAAAAAATCATGTGCCTGTATTTATATATAAGGATTTCTGGTACCAAGAGTTAATCAACCAGACACAACCTTATTAAGCAACATGACCAATAAGAAGCAACTCTATTATATGATTTAAAACAGAGCACTCACACCAGGCGCTACTATATTAACTGCTGTCTTTGTTTTATTTGACAACCTAAAGGAAAAGACGTCAGTGCTCCTGACTAAATAGTCAGGTGTTGCCTATTTTAAAAATTCTTGAGGTACACCAGTGTGCCATGGCACATTGGTTGAAAATTGCTGATCTATATCTATATATATATATATAAAAGCCAAGCGACCAGAATGCCAGATCTACCGATTGCTATGACATGCACTACAGCAGCCAACCAGCCCGATCAGGTCCCTTATCGGCATCCCCCCCAACCTCTCGCAGCCCCTCACGCAGGCCATCCCACCCCCAATAGGCCCCCCCACCCCAATTGGGGGCAGGGATGGCCAACCTACTGCATCCCCTCCCTCCTGCTGGCCTGGCCTGATTGGCTCTCATTAGAGCAGGCCAGCCGGACCCCACCGGTGTATGATTTTGTGCACTGGGCCTCTAGTTTGATAAAATAAAAGGGTAATATGCAAATTGATTGAAGGACAGAATGACCAGTTGCTATGATGCACAATGACCACCAGGGGCAGATGCTCAATGCAGGAGCTTCCCCCTGGTGGTCAATGCACCGCCACAGGGGGAGTGCTGCTCAGCCAGAAGCCAGGCTCATGGCTCATGGCTCACAGCTGGCAAGTGCAGCAGCAATGGCAGGAACCTCTCCTGCCTCTGTCTCTGCAGCAGCACTAAGGATGTCCAGCTGATGACTTAGGTGGGAAATGGGCCTAAGCTGTCAGTTGGACATCCCCCACGAGCTCCTGGACTGCAAGAGGGCGCAGGCCGGGCTGAGGGATCCCCCTCCCCTGAGTGCACAACTCTCATGCTCCGGGCCTCTAGTTTATAATAAAGGCCAGTGGCAACTGCTACACATTTACATCTTTTCTGCTTCTTGAGATCTTGCCTCTCCTAGCTTACAGTTTCCCCCTCTGAACAATAAGAGCAACTAGGTGAACCAGAGGTTCCCTTTCTGGATTGTGTTTCTTTATGTGGATCAAAATCCCCTCCTACAGCTTCTTCTGATACTTCCTCTTTCTCTACCTGCAAGTAAAGAAGAAAATAAAACAAAAAAGCTTTGTTTGGAAATGAGAATTTTGTTCTTAGTTGCCTCATTCTGTTAAAGAGTTCGTTTAGTGGAAGAGTAAGTTACTGCATCAGACAAGCAGTAAGCTTAAGAAACAATAGAACTTTAATTCTTTTTCTGCTAATATTCCTCCCAGAATTATGAAAACCACATTACAGAATATTGGGAAAGTGGAAGGCAGAACATCACTTCTGTCACCCAGTACGATGAGCAGACCTCCACATGCTACAGTTTCTGATTTGTGTTGTTTCACACCTCGTTCAGGTGTTATCCTCAGCAGCTGGTGATAAAATATCATCTGCTTGGAAATACAGTCAATCAAGCAAAAGAAATAAGGTATGAAATAAATTTATTAATTTATTACTTTGCTAGAGTGACCAAGAATGCCCATTACTCAACAGCATTAGATTGTAGCAACGTTTTACAATTTTTGCCTATATCATGGGAGCATCTCTTTTTAAAAAAATATATTAAACAAATGAGATCTTCCTATTAATCCTTTGTCTTTTTAAAATAAATATTTTAATCTGATGGCATTTTATTTTAATTTTGTTTACTTGTCAAGGTGTACAAATGGGAAAAAAAAAAGATTTTTGACTGTCTGGTTTTAGTGATACTTTTCTATTGTATTTAGAATTGAGAAAGTTACCAGCCTTCTGCAAATCTGATAAATACTCTATTCTCATTTCCTTTTTATTATATTTAATGTGATTTTTATATTGAACACTTCAATCAATCTGAAGTATCTTTTTGCAATGTGTTGTAAGATATGGATTTGATTTAATTTCCTCCCCAAATTACTGTCTAATTATTCCAACACCATTCATCAAAGAAAGTGTCCTCACCCCAGAGTTTTAAAAAGCTTGCAATATCATATGAGTTTATATTTAGCTGCTTCTATTTCTGGATTCTCCATTTTGTTCACTGCTCACTATACACTGCTTTTCTTTTTCTTTTCTTTTTGTATTCCTTCCTGTTTTTATTAGATCACCTACCCATGGATAGTAATTATCCAGGGGGCCCAAGGCAAAGTCTTATTATACAATAATTTTGACATTTCAGTGGCAAATCTCTAATATGTAATAAATATGCATGGCAATGTATACATCTAACATACAAAATCTCTAACTTTTATTAACATAAAATTAATACATGCTCTCTGTAAAGTTTATATTAACAATTTATTGAGATATAATTCACATAGTTGACTCATTTAAAACATACAGTTTACTGGCTTTTAAAAAAAAATATTTCTTCTCATTGATTTTTTACAGAGAGAAAGGGAGAGGAGAGCCAGAAATATCAATCGGCTGCCTCCTGCACACCCCCTACTGGGGATGTGCCTGCAACCAAGGTGTATGTCCTGGGACCCTTGAGTCCACAGGCCGAGGCTCTATTCACTGAGCCAAACCAGTCAGGGCCAGTTCACTGGCTTTTACTGGCCTTTATCACCATCAGTTCTCATTACTCCAAAGGAAACCTTGCATTCTTAGCTTTCACACCCCTCACTTGCCTTATTCTCCCAACTCTGGGTAGCCACTAATCTACTTCCTGTCATAAATTTGTCTCTTCTGGATTTTTCATATACAGTAAATGGAATCATATAATATATGACTGGCTTCTTTCACTTAGCATAACATCTTCAAAGATCATCTATGTTGTAGCACACATCAGTATCTCATTTCCTTTTATTGCCAAAAAAAATCAACCAAGTGGGTATATGACATTTTATTTATTCAGTTATCAGTTGATGGACATTTGGGTGATTCCCACCTTTGGGCTGTTATGAATAGTGCTGCTATGAACATTTGTGTACATTTTTTGTGTGGACATATGTTTTATTTCTCCTGGGTACATATCTAAGAGTAGAGTTGCTGGATCATATGGTAAAGTTTTTAGAATATAGAATCATTTTAAAGGAAAAGTCACTTATAATGCCCCCCAACCTTCTCTACACCCTAAGTGAGTTAAGTACCTTAATATTTGGTAGCATGTCCTTTTTGTTTTCTTTTTCTGAGCATGCCAATATGTAATTTTCTTCTTTGTTTACTATTATTCTTTCTTTTCCTTTAATTTTTTTGTTTTGTTTTTTCTTTCTTCCTTTGTGTCTTCAACAAAATGGGGGAAATCTCCGAACAGTCATGGCCCAAAGCAAATCCTTCCTGCTAACGATCCATTATTGTGGTCTAGTCTCCTTTACTGAGAGCTTTGATCTGAGGACCAGATGAGAGGGAGTAAGAGAGAGAATGTAAATCTTGTTCTCCTTTACTCACCAGCCCCTCTCTGTAAGAAATGACCGCCACAAGGAGTGAAATTGTTACAGATAGCCAAAAAGACATTCATGGCAAAGCTTAGTCCTCTCATCACCATCCTGTATCCCATCCCTGACATGGGGTTAGGTTGGGGAGTGAGGCTTACAAAACAAAGTGGATATTTATCAAGAAAAATAAAACCATTGCATGTTTCATAACCATCAGTCAGACCTTTTACAGTTATCCTATAAATGCTACCATAGTAATCTGTTTTCAATTCTAACACATTTTAGTTGACTTTCTTTTCTTTTTTTTTACATATATATATATATATATATATATATATATATAATAGTATTTTATTGATTTTCCACAGAGAGGAAGGAAGAGGGATAGAGAGCTAGAAACGTCAATGAGAGAGAAACATCGACCAGCTGCCTCCTGCACACCCCCTGCTGGGGATGTGCCCGCAACCAATGTACATGCCCTTGACTGGAATTGAACCCGGGACCTTTCAGTCCACAGACCGACACTCTATCCACTGAGCCAAACCAGTTTCGGCTTAGTTGACTTTCTTGAGTTCTAAAAATAGAATTATACCTCTAACA